TTAAAAAGTTTATTTTTGTCTGTCTCTGTTTGAACGATATTTATTATTGTTCTATTTTCAAGTTGGGAATTTAGTTGACAATTCGCTGCTGGTTTAAAATATGCGTACTCCGTACAAGAATGCACAAGTTTGAAGTCGTGTTTATCTTATAATTGACTTACCAGCAATGAAACAAAAGCCACTAGGCGCCTTGCACTCTGGATGGCTGTCGGAGCGCGGCAGAAGGTCGCGGCCGTTAAGCGGATGGTCGGTGGCATTGAGGCGTCCATTGAAGCCACGCAGTTTCCGTACTATGCATGGGTTCTCTCCGTATATGACTGATGCGTCCAGAAACGCTGTATTCTGATTCACTTGCTCACGGGGACCTGGAAAGAGTTTAGTTTTTTGTTAAACAAATTATAAATAAATTTCAGACGTTTTTAAATTGTTATATCAATTAGTGAAATTTACATCCTAAATTGATTTGCAAAAATGCAAATTATACAACGTGTATTTATCAACAAATAATTTTCTTCATACCTAAATGCTGCTGTCCGGGCAGACTCCTCATGAAGGGGAAGCAGAGCCTCTCGCCGGAGGTGATGTTGACCTCGGGGTAGTAGTGGTCGCCGCGCGGCACCGGGAAGGGGTTGCACTCGGGGTGCACAGTGCGTGGAGAATCACAGGACCGGCAGTCGGGAATAGACTCGTGGAAACCTGCAATTACATTGTATAATGTGCTGATGCATTTTAATGTTGCTGTCGAAAATTTAAACGTATCGAAAGATAACTGTGAAACATCGTTCCTTCATTTGCAATACGATACTGGATTTTACATTAAAGGCTTATGTCTAGCAGTTAGCAGATGAAGAAAGACCGATGGTGATTATGTTCATACTAAGACCACAATTTTCATTGCCTTATGCAATTATCTTTACCTTTATGAATGGGCGTCATGGTAAGCTCGTGGTCTACAAACTGTGCGAACTGCATCACCATGAGCGTGTAGCGGGTGTGCAGATTGGAGATGTCAGGGTGGATGACAGTCGAGATGATGCGCGGCGAGGGCAGCGGCGTGCCTGTCACTGAGTTGATGCGGGGTCTGCTCACACCTGGCACATAATACAAGATTTTAAGGATAGTCATAGTGCATTGAAATACGACAAAATTCGACATAAAATTAATCTATTGACTATTGATTCAGTGCTTAAAATGCTTCAAGCCTTTTATTTAAAAGTCCGAATTATGCTTACCATCTTCATACACTGGTGGTAATAGTCTAGCGAAGGTCGTCAAACTCTTTCCTAGATTGGGATTACGGAGATTGTTGCAGTATCCAGTGTATGTTCTGAAGGGGTTGTTGGCATCGCAGCCGCCGTTGTCGTCACACTGAGGCTCGATGCTCGGTCCCTGCTGGTCCTGGCCGAGAAAGCCGCTCACGTCCACAGACTGCAGGGAGTCCACAAAATCGTTGGCAGAGAAGCTAAGCGAATCGTCGAATATTTGACGCTTGCGACGGTGTCTGGAATGAAGTTGCATAAAATTATGTATTATTGTGAAATATTGGTTTGAGTAGTTAATCATACCATTACTTATTAAATTGAAAACTGTTTTATATCTTACCCGGTATTAACGGTATTGAGCAGCTCATTGGTGGCAAATTCAAAGAAGAGAGAAGTGTTGGCGAGTTTTAAAGCGTATTTGTTTGCTTTAGAGAAGGACGCTGCAGTACCCACTGGGGACTTGGGATCGGCACCTCCACCTAAAATAACCAAATTAAATTATAGTACATATAAGTCATAAAATAAAAATCCACTTTACTACTATATATGAGGTGATCTTCGAATCTCTGTGTTTTGTTGGAGTACTTATATGTTTTTAATACTTACGTGATTCCCAAAGCATGTATTCAAGTTTCTTTCTATCTGCCATCTCCTGTTTGGCTTTCTCGAGCGCAGCAGTTAGCATATCCTGTGACAACCTCTCGGCCGCTTTAGCGCCTGTCTCGTCACGCCACGCGGATAGTTCTAAGCGATTGTGTTGCGAGCAATGCTGTGCTGCGTTTCTGTAGAAATAATAAAAAGCCGTTAAAACATAGCAAACAACACGCAGTTTTTGCATTTCAAATATTACATCGAGTTAAATTTCGAATTAAACATCACAATCTTGTACTTTTATTAATAATGACTTCGTTTTATAAAATGCATTTAGTAGATACTTACAAGAAAGGATCTTCTTTGACGAATGCTTTCGGTTGGATTTTGCCGAGATTTTCTTCCGCAGCACATAACAGACCAGCGAGCGAAACCTTCCTTACAGCAGCTAGTTGCTCGGGAGAGAAAGATGATGGAGGGATATCGTTTTCATACCAGAACCTGGAGAAAATAAGTAAATTATTGTCACGACTTTAAGTTCTTAAACTAAAACGTATTGTTAAGAGAATTCTTACCTGTCGCTCTTCTTCATATTGGCAAATTGTAGAGCTAACACGCAAGCTAATGTTGAACCAATAACAGCTCCGGATGCCGCTTTTTCCATCGCACCACCGATCATTAGCTCCACATCTTCAGCATTCCTTTAAAAAACACAATATTTACCATAAGACCGAACCAAATGTATTTTATAATCCTCGTTAATACATTTATAGATTTTTACTAGGATTTTTTTTTCTTTAGTAATACAAATTAGCATTTTTATGACATGTTCTAACGTACCTGTACATGTCCGCCATCATTTCTTGCTGAGCTCTATTGAATCCTAGCTTTTCGAAGTCAGCGTACGATTTGACATTAACCATTGGTTCACATAGACGCAGCGCTCGCAAATAAGATGCTACGCCGTGGTCTCTAGAACGATTCAAGTCCCATTGCGCTGATCCCGGAAATTTGGACACTTTGTGTGCACTCGTCTTAACTAAATCCATTATAGAAGATGTATCGTTGATCTAAAATGAGTTAATGTTATTTTAGATTTACAGTTAATAGTTCTGTATCTGTGGTTTAAAACCGTATCATGGGACTTACTAAGTTTTCATGCATCATTGCATTGAAAATAGGTGCAACGGCGATAAGTTCTGCGTAGGCGCCGGCGCGGTTGGTACTCGAATAGCTTCGCCAAAAACCTAGTGATGTAAGCTTTAATTCTGCCTTTGCCATACCCACCTGTAAAAAATATACCAAGAATGTTAGATTGTAAAATACGAAATAACACACTCCTCTGAATGAGTAAATCGCCCTTTTTAAATTACCTTATTATTGAATTTTTGTATGATTTATTTTGTTTTTTGCGAAAAAGTTTCTTGATACATGAGATGTCAGTGAAAACCCACAGTTATAGAACATGCTATCACGATTAGATCTCGTTTTAAAGTTTGTTTCCATGCCGCTACGGGAAAGCCCCATGTTGGTTACGCATATTTATGATAAAATCTTTTTTAAACCACTTAATTAAAAATTATAACCGGTTATACAATCCAGATCGATGGTTTGACCTCATTTAATACTGACGTAATCTTCTTACAGACGCATCATGATTATAATTATGTTAATTGACAATATACGATGGAGTTGGGTCAATGAACTTTGGTAACTAGTTTCTGTTAATGGTTTTTTTTAATATGCTAAGCATATTTGTATTTTAAAAA